CTGGCATCAAAACTAAAGAAGTCAGAGGTGGGAGAAATAAAGTAGCATTCAGGATTTCTGATCTTTTAATTAAAGTTTTGGTGTCTCTAGGCAAGAGAACAATGTGTTTTTCTTCATGCAATTGTATTCAAGCTGTGAAACTAAGGGATGCTGGAGATACACCCTAGAAGTCTTTGTGGTCAGGGATCTTTTACTTTCTCAGTACAGACAATTGAAGAGAGAAAAGATAAAAAGTGCATACTGTTTTATTCCACAGGAATTTATAAAAGTAAATTACTGAAGTATATAATACCTGATACACATTTATAATAATAACCATTCTGGCTAACTTCAGAGCTTGAAAATGGCATCCTTGCTTTTCTAAATTTAACTTAGTATGTTTAGCTTTTTTGCATTTTGTATTACCTTTGTATAACCCACTTTTTGAACCCTGAATGGGAACATAATACTTTACATCAATTAGCACATTTAATAGTGACTTTGACCATATAATTAGAGTTCTTGGTGGTGGTGGTGGTGTGTTGTGGAGTTGGTTCCAACTCATGGCAACGCTGCATAGGGTTTCTGGAGCTGTAAATCTTTACAGAAGCAGAAAGCCTCATCTTTCTCCCATTGAATAGCTGGTTTTTCCAAACTGCTGACCTTGAGATTAGCAGCCTGATTCATAACCACTACACTACCAGAGCTCCTTCTACTTTATTGATATAGAAATTTGTTAAAGAAATTAAGTCATTTGCCTGAGGTCACACATTTTGAATCTGAGTAAGCTTAAATTTGAATTTACACAGATTATCTTCAATGTCCATATTTTTAACCATTGCAAATATGTTAAAATTGTTTAAATGTAATTCCTTGTCTTGGCAGGTATAGCTCAAAATATAGTTCAATTGCATCATAAATATTTCTTCACTTTTTGAACTTTCAAAATTATAGAAAAATCATTGTTTTTCTCATCAGGTTGATCACTAGGAAGCGAAACAAAATTCTTCAACACTTTATACAGTCATCAGTTTCGATATGAAAAAGTATGATTATTTACATGTCTAATAAAATTACAATTTCATCAAGAAATGTACACTTAATTTTATGTAAAAATTTGTAGTTATTAGTTTTATAGCCTTCCCCTTACTCACCCTGCAACAAAAGTGGATTTTTCAAAATTATTTTCAACATTAAGCAATGGAAAGGGAAGCAAAATGAACCGTAAAAAAAAAAAAAAACTCAAATAAAATAGGAAGACTATTACACAAGTTGAGGTCCTGGTGTGGCACTGTAGGACAACACTGAGCTACTAACCACAAGTTTGGTGAATCAAACTCATAGGCCACTCTTCATAAACTCTATACAGTATCTCTATGAGTCAGAACTGACTTGATGGCACTTCACAATTGCATAAATTATATAATCATTTTATCACAAGTTTAATGGGCTGTGCTTATACGCCCTCTAAGTTTTACCTACCTGTAATAGTAGTAATTAAAATATCTCAATAATTAAGTTGCTTATTTGTTGTTCATAAAATTTCAAAGAAGAAACTTTTGTGTACTTAAGGGTACAGAAAATTTGCACGCATGCCTCTTCCATTTATAGTGAAAACAATTTAAGATTTATCTAAGAGTCCTGGTGGGGCACTGTGTGTTAATGCGCTGGACAGTAAGGTTGGTTTCAAGCTCACCCGTCACTCTTTGAAAACTCTTTACAGGTTCGCTATGATTTGGAACTAGCTCAATAACACTTAACAACAACAATAAAGACTTTCAGCTTACATATTAATAATGAAAGGTTACTTTTCATACAGATAGACATTTTTGAACGCTTTCTTGAAAATTAATCTGATACGTACTTGTTGCTGTTGTTAAGTGCTATGGAGTGGATTCCAACTCATAGCGATCCTATGCACTACAGAATGAAACACTGCCCATTTTTGTGCCATCCTCACAATCATTGTTAAGCTTCAGCTCATTGCTGATGCCACTGTGCCAATCCATCTCTTTCAGTGCCTTCCTCTTTTGCACTGATCTTACACTTTAATAATCATGATGTCCTTCTCCAGGGACTTGTCCTTCCTGATAATATGTCCAAAGTATGAGAGACAAAGTCTCACCATCTTGGTTATTGGAGCATTCTGGCTGTATTTCTTCCAACACGGTTTGCTTGTTCTTCTGGCAGACCATGATACTTTTCATATTCTTCTCCAGCACCATAACTCAAAGACATAAATTCTTCTTTGCTCTTCCTTAATAACTGTCCAAGTTTCACATGCATATGAGGATATTGAAAATATCAAGTCTTGGGTCAGGCACACCTTAGTCTGCAACCTGACATTTTTGTTCTTGAATGCTAGATAGCTCTTGACTAAAGCAATGCATTGTTTGATTTCTTGATTCTGCTTCTATGAGTCTTGAAAGTGGATCCAAGCAAAACGAAGTCTCTGAAAACTTTAATCTTTTCTTGAGTTACCATGGTGTTATTTATTGGACCAGTGGTGAGGATTTTTGTTCTGTTTGTATTAAGGTGCAACCCAACTGAAGGCTAGTCTTTGATATTCATCAGTGAATATTTAAATTTCCTTCACTTTCAGCAAGCAAGGTTATATCATCTGTATATCACAGGCTGTTAATGAGTCTTCCTCAATCTTGATGCCACGTTCTTCATATAATCCGATTTCTGGGTTTATTTGCTCAGCATACATATTGAATAAGTAGGTAAGAGAATACAACCCTGATGCACACATTAGTTGATTTAAAACCATTCAGTTTCCCCATGTTCTGGTTGACCAATATACAGGTTCTTCATGAGCACAATCAAGTGTTTGAGAATACCCATTTTTCACAATATCATCCATAGCTTGTCATGACACACACAGTGGAAAGCCTTTGCATAGTTAATAAAGCACAGCTCAACATCTTCATGGCATTCTCTGCTATCTGCCAAGATCTAGCTATCATCAGTAATAATATCTTTAATTCTACCTCCTTGTCTGAATGAGGCCTGAACCTCTGGAAGTTTACTGTCAATGTATTAGTGCAGCTATTTTTAAACTATCTATAGCAAAAATGTACTTGCATGTGATACTAATTATATTGTCCAAATATTCACACATTCTGTTGAATCACTTCTCTTTGTTTTGAGTATTAATGGATGGTTACAGCTGTTTCTTCTTATTTTGAGTGGTGCTCTATCAACTAATAAAGGTGCAGAAAGCTTTACAATATTCATGTCATCATGGCCCAATCTAGGAGGCAGTTCTTCCCCAGTCACATTTTGAGTGCCTTCCAACATCATGTCTATCATACTTCTGACAACGTATGATAGACAAAGTCTAGCCATTCTGGCTCTACTACAAATTTGTTTGTTCTTCTAACAGTCCATTTTTTATATTCTTCTCCAACAACAAAACTCAAATGCATCATTTTTTCTACTGTCTTTATTCACTGTCCAGTTTTTATTTGCATATATGAGACTATTGAAAATACCATGACTTTGGTCAAGTGCACTTTAGTCTTCAAACTACTATCTTTGCTCTTGAACACTTCAAATTGGCAAAAAATACTTGAAATTGCCATTTGTCACACAGAAATTTTACTACAAAACCTTCTGTCAACACATAAGTAACATATTGCTTACAGCCTGAAAAGAATAGAAACTATGTTTCTAATTATAGCATATGTCATACATGATGCAAAGCTCCAAAACAGAAATTATTTAAAGAGAACAAAATGTTCTGTTTTGTATTGGTTTTCTGAATAATGCCAAGTAAGTCTGCTTACACCAATCTTCTCTTTATATACTACTTCACTGCTTGGGTATGTCTACATTGTAAAACAGACTACATGAGACTTTATGAGGTCATTTCCTATTATTTGTTTGACAAGAACCTGTGATTGTGCCTGTTAAACTTCTTTAATCAGTTATCGTATCGATTCCCTGAGTTTTCTGGTGAGTCATCACAATGATTAAAATGTTCCTGTAGACTGGGAAACAATAATCCCATCCAGCTGTTAAGGGAAACAAACTAAGTAGAATATAACTTCTCAACGTGAATTTCAGAGAACACTTGTTCTGTGTGTCATGCAGGAGGAAAATATTTAGTGACTTATAAGAAAATCTATTTTGGAGTTTTACAGTGCATGTTAGCGTATTTAAAACTGTGAAAAATTTTTCACTTTTTTTTTTTTAAGTTGTAGTGAATTTATTTCAGTATTTCTTATATTCCTTTGAGTAGAAATTATTTCCCCCCTTGGAATATGTTGAACAACTTGAACTCCTTCTCTGTGAAAATTACAAAAGTGAACTTTGGAGTAAATCAGACATCAGCAGTCTTATTGGTTTTATTTGCATAATGATTATACTGGTCAATTGAATTGAGATTTTACAGCCAAATAATTGATATAGAGAATGTTCCTAGCTCTTAATTCCTGTGATTGAATCACATCATGAGAGATAATCATATAGATACTGGAACATTGAGAGAACTATTCTGTAGCCAAGGTTGTAGAAATTATTTTTCTTGTGAGGCAAAGCCATACTTGTGTGCTATACACCTTGGAAACACTTAATTTATGCCAGTCACAGAAAAAGCATATACACACACAAACCTTACTTTCAAGCCCAATAATGTGACCCCATTTATTATATACTATTGTTCACACATTTGACTATCATCTGGAAAGGTTAAGAATGAGAGAAAAACCTCTTGGACATACTGCAGTAGATAGATCTTTGTTTCATTGCTAATGAAAATGATGACTGGAATAAAATACAATGGAATAAGTAAGTGATGCCATTGTTATTAAGTTCCATTGAGTCAATTCCCACCCATAGCGATCTTATATAGGATTTCCAAGGAAAGACTGGTGTGTTTGAACCATCAACCTTGCAATTAACAATTCAGTGCTTATCCTACAGCACCACACCAGGACTCCAAGTAAGTGATAAGATTTATTAATCATAGAAATAATTTATGTCTTGAGTACAGAAAATACAAGATAGCATATTACCGTATTATCCACTTGCAAACAACACTGTCTTTAGAAAGCTTTGGGTAATGGGCAGCCTGGAAGGACCCAGAAGAGCCAGTTAACAAAAATCTTCCATCACAAGGCGTGGCTGTGAAAACATAGCAATGGCTGTTAGACGTAAATAAACAATCTTGGAAATGTTTTCAAATGAAATGGGGTTCAGCTTGATTGACAAATCTTGCTGAGAACATGACTATTTTATAAAACCAAAATGATCAAATGGGAGATAATCAGGTATCATGTTGAAATCATATTAGTTATTTTCAAATATACTTACACATCTCATCACAAAGTCCGTAACAAAATCTTTCAGATTCTAAATACTAATACCTAGGAAACATTTCAAATGTGCTAATTCATATTTCACATATTAAGGAAATTACTATTACGGAATTGTATACTTCCAATATGAACCAGTGATTATAAACCTTTGGTCTTATTTTCTGCATTTAATTGAGGCTAGTTTGAAATTCAAATATATGCATGTTTTGCTATGCAGTTGTTTAGTGTCGTAGACTCGATTCTGGCCCATAGCGACCCTGTATAGGGTTTCCAAGGAGAAGCTGGTGAGCTTGAACCACTGACCTTGCAGTTCAAATGACTTTACAGTCTAATTCATTAGCCCCCAGCGCCACACCAGGACTCCATGTTTTGCTATAGCATTCAGAAAATTATTATAATATGGACAGGTAATTGATAAGAATGTCACAACTGGTTTTGCAGAGCATTGCAAACATCTCATCTATTTCACCATTTTGTAAACAGCATCACTCTGACTTTATGTATGAATTACTATCTAGTTCACTGTTATTATTTAATATCCCTGAATAACCTTCTTGCTTTGTGATTACTCATTCACATCTTTCTATTCTTGTAACACATTCATATATATTTATATACCCTTTTTAATATCCTTTATTGTGTTTTTTTCATAGTTGGATCATTCCCAACTAGATTAAAATTGTTTTAAGGAGCTCTGGTAGCGTAGTGGTTACGAATCGGACTGCGAACTTTAAGGTCAGCGGTTCGAAACTCTCAGCCGCTCCGCGGGAGAAAGATGAGGCTTTCTACTCCCGTAAAGATTTACACCCTCGGAAACCCTGTACAGGGTCGCTATGGGTCGGAACCAACTCGACGGCACTTAACAACAACAACAAGGCAAGAACCAGGAGCCATACTTTGCAATTTTGATTATACTTTTTTATTATTATGTAAAATATGTGCTAAAGTTAAAAAAAAAAAAAATGGAATCTTAGTGTGGCGCTGTAGGGTAAGTACTGGACCATAAATTTGGTTTCAACTGCAAGATCAGTGGTTCAAACTCACCAGTCACTTCTTGAAAGCCCTATACAAGGTCACTATCAGTTGGAACAAACTCAATGGCACTTAAACAGCAACAAAAAATAATAAAATTCATTTGATTGTTATAATATTTAGATTTCTTAGAATTTTTTCTATACTTAGGTTTTTGTTGTTGTTAACATATTCTAAAAACATGACACAGAGAACGTGTACTTTTTCTCTGTGTAGATCAAATTTCACATATATTAGAAACATTGATGAAGGACTAAGAAATCCAGAAATATATCAAATTAAGTTGATGGATTTGGGATCTGAGTGTTAGAGTAAACTTGCCCAAAGTGGAAGAATAAGCCCATTATAACATTATATAGTGTGAAAATATAACTATCAAATGGCATGAAATAATTTATATGAAGGGGAAAAAAAAGAACTTAATTGAAAGATTAAACAACACAATGAAATCTTGTTAAAAATTTACATTTTGGGTTATCTTTTGATGTTTTAAATAATACTTTTAAAGCACTTTTTTGTTTTTTGTTTTTTTACTTTGGTGACTTTTAAGATTTAAGTCTAGAAATCTAGGAATTATACTGGTTTTTGACTGCCTAGCTTGAATCCCAGCAGTAAGCCAGAAACAAAAGGAACAAACTGAGAATAGAAAACAAAATAACCAGAGAAGCAAGGATTAAAATCTGAACAATTCAGTACAGACATCAAGAAATGAAATCGAGAAACCCATGGCTTGTTGAAAAAACAGTCTCCTTATGCCCAACACTTCAGCAAACAAGGACAATTAAGGCTAATATGTCATGATTTCTACATAAACAGTAAAAACGTGTAAGTTTTTGAAAAGTAGACAAATATAATTTTCTGGCTCTGGAAATAAAATCTGATTTCTTATAAACTACTTGCAACCTCCCCAACTATGCCAAAGTAATGGGACAATTAATTCATTTACTTTAATGATGATAAAAAAGAAGAGTTTTTTTTTAATTTAATTTTAATTTTTAATGTTTTTATGTAATATATACATATAGCTTTGAGAATCCTTGTGTGGTGCTGTAAAATAAGCACTGGACTACTAACTGCAAGGTTGACATTTCAAACCCACCAGACACTCCATGGTTGCTATGAGTGTGAACCAACTCAAAAGCACTTAACAACAGCAAATAGCAACAACATACACAGCTTTATAATCACAGTTTGTTAAAACATCATCTGGACTCAAAAATTATAGGCAGTGAAATAAAGACCATGGTAATTACAAATTGTTTATATTTAATTTATGATACTAAGAAAGTATAACAGTCTTGTTGTTGTCAACTGCCTTCGAGTTGATTCTGACTCAAAGCAACACTATACTACTTATCCTACAGCATCACACCAGAACTTCAGAACAGTCCTACCAGTTCTAAATATAATTGCTAGCATTTATGAGGTGTCCTGCTAGAACCTCAGAATAGTTCTACCAGTCCTAAATATAATTTCTAGCGTTTATGAGGGGTCCTGGACTGCTAACTGCAAGGTTGTAAGCTCAAAACCCACCAACTGCTCCTTGGAAACCCTCTACAGGGTCACTAAGATTCAGAACCAATTCTGTGGTACTTAACAAGAAGAAGAAGAAGAAGCATTTAGAAAGTTTTTACTCTGTTCTAGCTTCTGCTCTAAGTCATTATATATATATGTATATATATATT